TTTGGCACCAAGAATCAAATTCAGGACCTTGCCAGGGAGATAGCTCAGTAGAATAAGCGCTACCCCTACCTGTCCTGCCTAGCAAGCTCAAGGTCCTGAGTTCAATCCCTGGTACCTACTGAAAAAAAAAAAAAAATTCAGGACCTTGTGCTTGCCAGGCAGGCACTGTACCATTGTAGCCATTGTGGCCCCAAGGTTATAATACTTATTGTTAAATTATATGTATAATACATCTACATCTTTCTATATGTAGAGGTTTGTCCCATTCTTTTTAATGTCTGCATAATATTCAGTTCAATCAATTTCTTTCAGTTTCTTACTCCAGACAATGTGATATTTACACAAAAGTGTCCAATTTATTTCACTTAAGAGTGTGATCTCAAGGTCCCTCCATTTAACTGTAAATGTCTCAAGTTTTCCTTTTTAGGGCTGAATAGTACTCCATTGTATAAAAAATCCTTTTATCCATTTGTCGATTGATGGGCATTTGGGTTGTTTCAGTTCAGCCTATTTCCATTGATGGAATGTGGCTTCTTTTTAACGCTTTGCTATTTCAGATAATTCCACAGTAAATGTCTTTATGTCATCAATTTTTTTCTGTGCCTCTTTCCTTTTTCCCCTGCTGTCTCCCTCCATCTCTCCCACTGCCCTCTCACCTCCATTCCTCATCTTTCTTTTTGTTCTCCTCATCTCCTCCTCCCTTTCTTTGTCCTTTTGCTCTTCTATAATCTGTCTTTGGATAGAGCAACAAAAACGAGTCAAAGGACCAATGTATCTATATTCTCCTCCAAAGTGTTGTACTGTGTTACATTGCCAAAGGCAATTAATTGGAGTACTATTTGGTTTTTTGAGACATGGTCTCCTGATGTAGTGCAGGCTGGCCTCAAACTCACAGAGATCCTCCTGCCTCAATCTCCCAAGCACTGGAATTGCAGGCATGTGCTACCCTACTCAGCTTCCCTTGGTTTTGCTAGTGGAGTATTTTATTAAAAATTCAGATTTTGGTCAATCTGGTAGGTAGAAGATTGTGTTTCAGAGCTGTTTAAATTTGTACTTTTTTCCCAGCATTTTTTCATGTGCAGAAAGTTTTTAAAAAGTACTCAAATAAAGATAGCAGAGAAAATGTAAAGTTAAGGGAAGGATGAATGTATAAATAGATTTAAGTGTTATTTTGCTTTGGGAACCTCTAAAGTGATCTATGTTGGGGTCCATAGTTTGAGGACAAATACAATTCTCTAGAGAAATTTGGGGCTGACCATATGATATTGTTTTGGCTTTCTCAGTACTTATAAAAACACAAATTCTGGCCAGGAAGTTAGCTTAGCAGCATAAGTGTCTGTCTGGCAAGCACAAGGTCCTGAGTCCCATCCCCAGTACCAAAACAAACCCCATGAATTCCTTAGAAGAAATTTGCATGCCCTGATACCATGGTCTGTAGCGACTGGAAGATGGTGTCTTCATTCC